CACTGCTGATAACTTTCATAATAGTGACCACACTGTTAGTGTCTGTCCACATGTTGGCGCTCATGATCTCGACGTGTATATTACCCCATATCGAGGCGGTCTGTATCGACGGACACACCCCTATGTACGAGGAGTCTCCCCACCAGAAGATGAGACACTACACGTCCATCGCGTGGTTCTTCTCGACAGTGATCGGAATATTCCTCTTCCTTCTCGAGCTGACAATCATTGTTTGGGTCAAGTTTTGGTACATCAGTTGGGTAGCCATCGCATCCACCATAGTGTTGGTGCCAGTGATCAGTGCCTTCTTGTTCTTCGCCTATCACTTCTACCATCAATTGGTTGCCTATAAGTTTGAGAGGACTGAACAGGTCTTAAGAGAATTGGAGGAATTGGCAGAAAAGATGAATGAATGCCAAACTAAAGCCATTTTTGATGTTTAGAAAGTAATATCAATCTGTGATCTCATATTTAAAAACAATCACTTGCATTGTCACTAAATTATATAAAAGTATATTAAATAGTCATAAACATAATGTTTTATTGCATTGAGTGTTATTATATCCGAATTTATATATTGATATCATGTGCGATAACGGTTTGATAAATACTTTTATGATATTTTTTGTCTCAAGTTTTATTTTTGTTTTTAAAAGTTAAATGTTTTATTAATTTGACAAATTAGCCAAACAAACTGAAGGAAATATCTAGAAATAAATTGACGCAAAATTTATTAAATTTACAAATTAGTATTCAATGCTATTAGAAAATTTAAAAATAAAATCATAAAATGTGTGAATAATGTTATCGGAGTGAAGGATTCATTTAACATTTTTTGTTAATAATCATCATAAATTAAATGTTTTGTTAACATATTTTATTTTTTATCACTAAAACATTCCATATTTATTATCAACTGCATTTAACAGTTCATTACTGTTATTTAATACAGTATAATCTAAACTATTTTCACAAAAAAAAATAATGACATAAGAAAATAATACTTTGAAAATATTTTAATACCAATCAATAAGTCATGAGTTTCTTATCACTAAATATTTTTTTGATTTTGGTTTTAATATGTGGTATCAATTGTAAGACTAATTGAGATTAATTATCTAATAATTTCATTAATGTTTTGGTTGGTTAAAAGGTGACAACATTTGTGGTCAAAATGAAGTGTATAGTGAGTGCGGCTCTGCCTGTCCACCCATTTGCGAGAACCAGAGGATATCCCATTCACGCGCCTGTCATCGCATGTGTGTCGCCGGCTGTTTCTGTGCCCCGGGATATGTGAGAGACCTACTTCGGGATAATCAATGTGTTTTGGAAACAGACTGTTCAGTCGATGACATGTTGTAATATATTATTGATTGTTATTCAACACGATTTACATAATAATAATAAATAAAATGAAATAAATATTTATTCGTAAGAATATCAAATAGAAATTTAATACAAATTGATAACATATATAAATAAGCAGTGTTCAATTATAACAAACTAATCACTGTTTTTGAATTAAGTAATATTTATATTTAAATAACTTTGGGTCTAATTGTAGCGTTAATTAAGGCCTCAAATCATATCGGTTGACATTTGGTGGTAAATCCCTGAGACTGTGCGTTATGTTGGGATTCCTGACAGCGGACGGACTCTTCGGTGGACCCACGAGCCAGGAAAGGGGTCTTTGGTTGGAGCCAAAGGTGGACTGGTTTTGGTCGATACTCATTTCACTCATATTACTCATCCGTCGGGTCTCCTCCTGAATGATGGTATCCCTGCGACGTCTGAGCGCATTAACAGTGCTCGTCCTCTTAAGTATGGATTTCTGACCACCCGGTGCCTCTGTTTTGTATCAGAAAAGTGGTTTAAAACTACTGTTAAACTCATCATAAGTACCACGGAATACATACCGATGCTGTCGGGCCTTAAGCTCATAATCCTCTTGCGAAAGGCAGCGTCGAGGTCGAGCTCCTGGGGCTTCGGCTCCTTCCGCCACATCGACTGCCGATTGTTCGGCAGATTATTAGTACTGATGACCACATTCTTGTCGTCATAGTCTTCGATTCCCTTCAGTTTCTGCAACTGTTTGGTGATTTTGACGGCATTCCGGTTGAGTGTAGTCTCCTCGTCCTCGTTCTCGTCCTCTTTGGTGCAGAAGTCAATGCTCGTGAATGCCATCAAATGGGCTAACGTTCCGAACCGATGCATAAACATACCGATCAACTGAATGACCAGAATGATGCCAAAGAACACCACCAAAACGAGACCCATCGGATCCATTTTGATGGTCTTGTAGATGGGCTCCTCCTCCCACCGGTCCTCCTCTTCAATATACCGGGTTTTGTTGTAGTAGTCGATGGGCCCCGGGATGTGGATACTGAACACGTCGTCATGCATTTGGAG